AATATTTAGGATTGGTTAGTTAAATTTCAGTAGAATGATTGGTTAAGGTATAGCTGAGAATATTACTATATAAATTAGGGGCAAACAGGAAGTAAGTTGGGATTCAAAAATAAGGAAAAAAGGAACTTGGATTTAAGCTTGCTGGAAGTTCACCCCAATAAACATTGAATTGTTTGCACCTTCGGACTTCGGGTATTGTTGCTCTCTGTTCACGTGAGAAGGACCAGGGAAGTGGGAGAGTGAAGGAATAAGCTCTCTAACATGAAAAGGAGTACTTGTGGCACCTTACAGACTAACCAATTTATTTGAGCATAAGCTTTCGTGAGCTACAGCTCACTTCATCGGATGTCTCACAGGACATGTGATCCTGTCACCTGAAACTGGAATCCATCCTAAATCTGATACTTTTCCATTTAGAAGAGGGGTGGGAACCCAACGAGGCAAAAGATTCCCGCCTTGTGCCAAAGCTATAAAAAGAGATGGAGCAGGACAGAGGGGGCTTCCAGTCATGTGAAAACCCCTAGTTAACACCTAAGATGTCTGCTGGAACTAACAAGGACTGTACCAGGGAAAAGTATTGGGCCCAGACTAGGAAGACGTCTAGTCTGTGAAAGAAGATTATTGGAACATCTCTGAGGGTGAGATTTTACCTGTAATCAGTTTCTTAATGTATTAGGCTTAGACTTGCGTGTTTTTGATTTATTTTGCTTGGTGACTTGCTTTGTTCTGTATGTTATTACTTGAAGCTACTTCAATCCTACTTTTTATACGTAATAAAATCACTTTTGTTTATTAATTCATCCAGAGTAAGTGATTAATACCTGTGCATATCAGCTCTACCAGTGTTATAGAGGTAAACTCAATTTATGAGTTTACCATGTATAAGCTTTATACAGAGTAAAACGGATTTATTTGGGGTTTGGATCCCACTGGGAGCTGAGTGTTGGAGATAGACGACCTGCTGAGCAGTTTTTGGTTAAAGTCTGCAGCTCTGGGGGCGTGGACCAGACTTGGGACTTTATTGCAGCAGGCTAGCGTGTCTGGCTCAACAAGGCAAGGTTCTGGAGTCCCAAGCTGGCAGGGAAAATAGGCTCAGAGGTAATCTCAGCATGTCAGGTGACAGTTCCAAGGGGGTCACTGTGACCGAACCCGTCACACCTTTATTTGTTCTTCTAAAACTACATTGAGAAAGCAAAGCTGGTACTATCTTTGTCGTTTGTAATCTGTGTTGTGGTAGTGCCTAAGAGCCTCAGTAATAGATCAGGGCCCCATTGTGCTAGGTACTGTGCAAACAGAACAAAAAACATGGAGGCACTTTATATTTATGGGAAGCTAAATTAAAATAAACTGATGTCTTTACATTTTTCATACAAAAAAAGGAAGGACAAAGATCCACAAATGTCTGTTCTCTGCAAGCACACAAAATTGAACATGTGTGATGTGCCCACCTTATCCTAAAGCATACTCCCAACTAGCTGCTCCCATAAAAGAGTAAAAACCCCAGGATTCAATGTAATAAATTATCTTGGAGAAAAATGTCCATATCGGACTATTGGTCCCCATCCACATCAGCAGAAATCAACTTAAAGTATGTAAACCTTGATAAGGTAGACACTCCTTCTAAAATATTTGCATGAAAATAGGATAATAAATTTGGATCTAAACCATATAAAATATTACAAATGATACATATATTTATGTATTTATTGTGTTAAAGCAACATTTGCAGTAAGTCTGATGTCCCAACAGAAGATTGCAAGGAACTGTTAAGTTTAAGCGAACAACATACTTTAGAAGAGGTACTCTGGCCCACTTCTGCAGCTGCAACCAAGGAGTGTCAGGCAAAACTGGAGAGGGGTATGAAGTGGCTTTAATCCACCAATCTGCAGGCTCAGTCCTAGGGCTACTCCATGACAGCTTGGTCCATAGAAACAAGTTTAGAATAGCCTGAGACCTGCTTTAACGTCTGCCTGCTGCCTATGGCCCCAAGGAACACTGCATTGTCCCCTTGCCCCTGACTGCATCCTCTTTGTTGGCTGAAGGGAGGTGCTGTGTAAGTCTCCACAGTGGTTGTGCACCCAACTTGAGGACTCCTGCTGTTAGGATGGGCCTCCATTGATCAATACTATTAGTTTTACACCAGCTTTGCACCAACACCACAACACAAAGCTGCCTTAACACTCTGGAAAGTATAAAGTTCAGAACTGAAACATATGCACCCATAATTTAAAAAATCAAGTCATGTAGCATACACACACACCTAATTTCTCAATAGGCTTGATATTAGGAGTTTCTGAATTTATTCCAAAATTTAGGAATGGGGTACAAACAGACTCCCACTTAGCTAGAGATTACACAATCCCTTTGACAGAATGTGCAGTTATTAGAAAAGTTTCCTTGTATTGCATTTTATTTTTCAATAATCAGCTAAAACATTTAGTGCTAAACTAACACTATCTGTTTCGATATTAAGCACGAAGGTATTAGGGAACTGTGGAGTTCAATAAAAATTAAGTATAGGGGAGAAAATTCAGCTAAGTGACACTTTTGGAAATGTGTCAGATAAACAATTAACTGGTGCATTGGATTTTCCTTTCAAAAGGCTTCAAAGGAATCCATGCTAGGCGTTTGATAGTTATGTCTTAGTATAAATTAAGACAGGTTCTGATGTTCCAGGTTCTGATCTGAGTTATACTAATGTAAATACTGTAATAGTATGATCTAATCTGTTATGCCCAAGTAAATGCTCTAATGACTTCAGTTGAGTTCCTTCAGATTCAGCAAGTTTATCTGAGATCAGAATCTAGTCCAAGTAACTCAAAATAATGACATATATACCAAGATTAACATCGAGGCAAGATTAAAATGCAGTAGTCTACATGAAGACACAATTAGAACCTACCAACGTCTACCAAGAATGCAATTTAAAAGAAAACTTCAGTAACCAATATTTTCAAATTCTTACCATAGGTAGCCATTATAAGAAAGAAAAAGAAAGAGAGAAGTCTATACAATTTTTGTAATATTCTGTAGAAATAACATACTCTCTCTAAAAAGGCTATGTAAGATATATAATATCCAGGACCAGGCCTTTGATATGTAACTGATTTAAACTGATGTTCTGTTAAATTACCAATATTCTTGCAGACTAACATTATCACATATCATGAATCATTATTGGTTCAAAATGCATGACTCACTTTCATTTCACACATGTTCTGCATTGGTTGATGGCATGTATGTCAATACTGAACAGATGTTAATTCCTTTATTTTCATGCTCACCAAACATGTATTAATTACCTGGGAGGTTTGGGGATTTTCTTCTTAAAGATATTTATATAGACTTATTTTCAAAATTTGAAAATCCATCAGAAAAAGATAAAAATATAGTTTACATTCCTTAAATTCACGCTTTCGATGTTTAATTCCAATTTTCTCAATTTAAAGATCCATATGCAAAGCAACTGCAGACTGTTTTCATTAATTAGCATGTTCCTCTTTGTAAACAGGCAGAGAATTTTTCCATTACTTTTGCAATAAAAAGGTTTTTTAAATAATTACAAATTAAATTCAATTTTCTGACAAGTTAGTTCTGCACATCATCTGTATGGCAGTCTGTTCTTACTACATCAAAATGGTTAAGAAAGGATGAATAATTCTGCAAAGAAATAGTATCTCCTTGCAATCAATCACTATACAATGTGCATAAATCCAATTATTGTACTGTACTTCTCATTTTATGAATTATCTACATATAAAGCCCTTTAAAATATAAAATAATGTATTTGCAAATATCTACTGAAGGGATGCCAGGATGGGAAATTAAAAGGGATTCCATGTCAGGATTAATGCGTAATGAGAGAGCTATAGGTAGCTCGTGCCACTTTATGCTGGTCATAAGCTAGCCAAGGCTTTCCAAACTGGAACAGCAGGGGAGCTACCGGCACACTGATTTCAAGGAGAGCTGAAGCAGGCCCTTGCTTAGTTAGGGCCTGATTCCAAAGAAATGAATGGGAACAGAAGTGGGCTCTCAGGAAATTTGTCCTTGCCCACACTATGCATGGCTTTAGCCAGTTGTAACAGTTTCACACTTTAGCACTGTACCTACTAAAATTTCAAACAAAATAAAAATAGACACAACCACAAAATATCAAGAGCAAGATATTTGATCGTTCTTTATACGCCATGGAGCGTATGCCATCACTTGTAGCCAAAGCAAATTCTTTAAATTTGCCACTTGGATAATTTTCTTCATTGGAATAAAGTTTTTAAATTAAAATACAAATACGACAAACAAAGATTTTAAAAATCACGTACAACCAGGACACAACAGACCCCTGACTCCTCCCTATAATCTTTCTATTATTTGGGCACTTTCAAAATAAGAAATAGGGGTAAGATGCCTAACATCATGTTCTTTAAAGGCTAAATCCTGGCCCAATGAAGCCAATGACAATATTCCCACTGACTTCAACAGGGCGAGAATTTAGCCTGAAACAAGTGTTATTGACACCAATACTCTGTGAATACATGTATCTATTCATATACTCATTCAATTCCAAGGGATCTTTGTTCACTCAAATTTCCCATGGACATTCATGAGGGTTTGGGATATGCAAAGGAATGATCAGACCTATATGCACCTTCGAGATCTCACAGTAAAAGCGACTGATGCTGAAGGAGTTCTATCTACATGGAAGAAGACTTTGTTCACATCCTATTTCAGTTTTCTAACCACCAGACTTCTTTTCTTTTTAAAAAAGATAAATGGTTGCTACTAGTTAAGAGATTTTATTTCCATTATACCTTTATTGTTCCATTAATTTTTGTCAAACAGGTAAATATGGATTCATAAATGATTTAGCAGCAATATGTAATCAAATCATTGGAAAAAAGTTCCTAAGGGAAAATATATATTTATTTAAACAACAAATTATGCAATATAGAATCTGATTTTATATTTAAAAAAAAAAAAAACAAGTTTTAATGTTTTGTTACCTCCTAATCCAGGTCTAAGACGATTATCATAACCATCCAGAAGTCTGTCTAGTATTCTTGTAAAGATGGTGATGTTATTCTTAGCTTCATCTTCTAGGGAGTCAGCCAGCACTGATCTAAAACAACATTTTACAAACTAAAATATTTGTTTATGTACATTCAGTATGCAACTAATGTTATCATTTAGCTTTGAATGAGTCAGTTGTTGCCTTCTAATAACCTACATTATCTTAATCATACCACCTTTTCCCTATAAAAATGTACATTCAGGAGTATTCTGAAACATGAAAAATATGTGCTGTGTAGTGTAAGTGTATATGCATACACTAATTATATATTAAACAATGGTTTGGAAACATGATACTAAGAAAAACAGTTTTAATTTTCAAGCACTTCATTTTCTAACAGCCTCTATTTTCAGCACATATTAAAATACAGTACATATTGCTTCCTAAGAGCTCAATTAAAAATATGGCTGTTCCAGTACAGAACCCCCCAAAAATGCCATACGCTTCCACAGGTCATTACTCATGGATCGGTGCCCTTAGTTCCAACACAAAACTATCTCCTTGGAGCTGCTGGCCTACTCCCTCACCCCCTGCACACACTCTCTCTCAAACAGATACTTTGGTTATGCCTCCACCCAATGGCCATATAACGTACATGAACAGAAGTACTGACATAAGGGAAAACTCCACTGATCATGCTCAGGGAGTCCTCTGATGTCAGTACATAGTGGGTGGGCACAAGGAAGCGGACGGCAGCAAGCAAGCTGGGCGAGAGCTGTGAACAGCCCAAGAGCTGTAGTGGATTTAAATGGTATTTAGAAACAATTCTTGTATTTCAAAAGACAAGAGTATTTCCCTATGTTTTACCAGATCCAATCACATCTTGTAAATGTTGGGGTGAAACCATAAATTAATCTATCAAGGAGAGTGTATAGATCATCTAAATTTATCAGACTTCCTTGGTGAAGAAAGAGACCCAATTCTCTTCACTGATCATTTCTTCTTGGAAAACAGCAATAAATCCAATGAAATATGATTCTGCTGTCCAGTCAAGAATGGTGCTGAACATATCATCTGGGTGTGGAAACCCAAACCATGGCTTTGTATACCCTTAATTGTTTCTTCTATATAGAGCCTTCATATTGAAATGTTCTTGTGTAACCAAATTTTAAGCATCATTTATGTGAAATAAATTATATCAGAACACCATCTTTATTTAATACCTGTGTGGAGCATTAGGGCAGTAAAACAACATGTTAGATGCATTACCAGTTCATGCTATTTTTCAAAAATCTGCAGGTATTTTTATCTTTCAGATTTTTTCTTTTTTCTGTGTGCTTATCTTCTGCAACTGCAGTGTTGATCAAGGAATTTTGATTGAACAATTTGTACTATGTAAAATTAACACATTTTGTCTGATCTACAGCAAAAGTAATCAGGTGACATCTTTAAATTTATGACAAAACAACCTAAAAATTAACAAAGAAAGGATTTTCCTTTCACCCTACAATTAAACATCATGGAGGAAGTATTTAAATGTAAATTATTGCAGTCTGTGGTTTCCAAGATACTACCCTTATAATCAAGCATAATCAGTTAATTTACAAACCAAATACCTAGATGTCACATGTAAAATAAGATTAAAAGCTCTGTGTGGAAATTAAAACTATTGCTGTTTTTTCTTCACCTATACTTCGATAGTATGAATATCTGCCTTTTATATTACTCTTGTAAAAACAGAATAGTTTTTGAAGTCAAGATATGATTGAAAACCCCAGTTTAGATAGTTATATCACCTTACGACATAATCCTACAAGTCATATTCACATGAAAGCCCTTAATTAAACAAACTGTCTCTTTGATATCAATGGGATTATTCATGTGAGTAAGGACTACAGGATTCAGCTCATTGTGATTTAACTAATACTGCACCATGTTTGGGTGCAAAATAAGATAGATGACCTATTTTTAAAAATTAGGTAATTCTAGTCACTAAGAGATAACCACCAGGTAATTGTATCAGACCAAAATAAATGAAGAGATTTTCAGCCATATGAGGCCCCTATAATTTTGAAAATCATATTACCCAGAAAACGTACTGCGATCACAGTTGAAACAAGTAAAATGAAGTTACAAATTACAATTAATTGCATATTTAGGGAGCGTAGGCAACACTAAACTAATTATGTTTAAAATTACTTTCTGGTATGTTGTCACTTTAGAAATGGAGATCTCTAAACAACATGAAAAATTGATTAATCAACCAGGCTATTCTTTTATTTTATGGGTCTGTGAAGTTGTATGCTATCTCCACCTAGAGGTTTAAAGCTTAAATATCATTTCTGGGGTCTGTTGTGTCGACCAAAAAAAAAAAAAAAAAAGGACAAGCCCATACTCAAAAATGCCAACATTATTTTAGAAATTGTAGTTTGCTATTTGACTTCACAACAATCTATTACTTTGCCTACACTGTTGTTCTATGTGATTAACTTATGGTGTAAATTGGCAGTGGCATACTGATTCCAATACATCTCTTACAACTCAGAATGTTACAAAGAAAATATTTAAGGGTGTATTTTTTGTCTTTCAAATGGTTGAATTAAAAATGTGAAGTCACCGGTGTAGCGAATTGTTTAAGGTAAGTAATTAACTTGACATTGTCCCCAGAACTCTTTTGGTCACTGCACTTGATCTAGAATCTGCCAAATATTGTATTAAAACAACTAACCAAGACTTTTTATGAAATATTATCCCCTGCTAGCTTTTATCACCCCTTACAGGAAATGACTAGGAGCAGATCAAAACACAATATGCGTTTCTGTTGAACAGCAATAAGAAACGTTGTGCTCACCTTGTTGGCACCCCCACCAATAAAAGGAGAAGACCCAACTGCATCTTGTAGAGTGTCAGTTTCCCCTTCATAGCTGCTCTTTGCAAAACCTAACCATGCAAGAAAAATACAAACCCACTCAGAGCTACAGTGAGTCTCCACCAAGCAAGGCTTTCAACTTAACCAAAGGAAAAATACATGCCACTTCAATGGAGATGAGAAAACACTGGATTCCTGAAGCACTTTCCCTTACTAGCAACTTATAGCTCCATCTTTTGCAAGGATCCTGCTTTGTACAAGTATGTAATTCATAATCAAAAGTGGCATGTAAGCAAATGCATCAGATGCTTCTTTTTTCTGTAATATGAACGCCCCGACAAGACCAAACACATAATCAGTTCTTAATCATTCCTCGGTTCACTACAATACTCCGCAACCCACTCACCCCAAAATAATCATCATGCTCATTTGCAGAGGTTCAATGGCATGACTGTGAACCAACCGGTGCAGCTGCTGCCAAAGGCGGAACATGCTGGACAGCCGTTTAAAAAATAATAATAATGGACATAGACTCACATCGAAAAGCAAAAAGGGGCAACCACAGTGCAGGTCAAAGTTGCAGAATACAAGGAGCTTAGCTAATGCAACGCAGGGTGCCTGTCTTGTCTGAGGTTAAGGGAGGGGGCCATTGTCGGAGCCCCCCCTCCCTTCTCCATCTCCCCTCGAAGACACTCAGACTTTCCGGGGGTGGGGGCATGCCCAGCAGCGCAAGAAGAGAGGCGACGGGGTCCCTACCTGGGAGCAGCAGCAGGAGGCGCTCCGAGGAAGGGTGGGCGAGGGGGAGTCCCCCCGTGCGCTAGTCACCAGAGAGGAGGATGTTGAAGATGGGGAAACTTGGAGCCGAGCAGCCAGACTGCAGCGGCGCTGCGAAGAGGAGCCGCTCCGGAGTGCTATGTGCGCGAGGAGGAGCAGCGCGCGCCTGCTGGAACGGGGGGGCGGCAGGAGGAGGAGAGTGTGCGCGCGCGCACACAGCTGGCGCGCGCTCCCCCTCCCCCCAGAGGAGGGGGTGGCGGAATCGCAGGGCTTGACTCTCCGCCGGCCGGCCGGCGCGAGGGCTGGGACTCCGCGCGCTGCCGCAGCGGCGGCTCCCGCGCGCTCGTCAGCCCACCCCGGGCAAGGGAGGCGCTTGCCTAGGGTCCCCCCGCCGCAGAGAATGCTTTGGTCCGCTGCCCTGCAGCGCCAGGCACCCCACCCAGCGCGGGGCACTTCCGAGGAGCGCCCTGGAGCAAAGCCCAACCTCCTTGCCCCTCATCTCCTTCTCAGCAGCCGCAGACCTCACCGGGAGCACAGGACGGGCTCCCCTGTGCGGCCCCCTCCCCCCAGCGAGCCTCTCGGGGCAGCAGCAGCAGCCCCTGGGGCTCCGATTGTCCCTTGCAGCTGCTCCCCTCCGGGCATCCCTCTCGCTGGTCTGTCCGGACAGGCCACCGCAATCGTCCCTGCCACCAGTTCGCACCCCAGCCCAACGAGTTCAAAGAAGTTTGCACTGAAAAGGGGAGGAGGGAGAGACGAGCTGAAATGTGACTTGTGCGGCCGCTGCACCAGCCGAGCAGCAGCTAGAGCAACTGAAGCAAGATAGAGTGGGGAGGAGGGTGGGGTTGTTTCCTTATTTAGCCTTTCACTTGTCAGCTCCATGTGCATTGAAGAGCATGTTATGTAGAGCTCAGCTGCAAAGCCCTATCCACCCTCTTCTATGGGGTTGTGTTTGATCTTCCTTGTTAGTAGTCTGTTTTATCTCAGGTGATGAAATGCAAACAGGGCGATTGCACGAAAGAGGTACCTTCTTCTGTTGATGCATCTAATTTGAGATGAAACTGGCAGACGACTAAAGGAAAAGAGAGACACAGCCTCTTATTGGGTGTGTTTAGAGTGCTACCCTTGTGAAAATGCAAAGCGGGAAAGAGAGGAGCTGCGTGGTTAATTTCTTTCTTCACGACTGATGAATCATAAGTTCGGATGATATGAGCATATTAAACATACACGAGACACGACCTCCCCTAGTGACAATGCATGAGTAAACGTGAACACATAAATGTGGTTAGATACTGATAAGACACACACAAAAAAATTAGCTTATTCTTGCACAGACAAAGTAGGGAAGAAAGAAATCCCTTAAATGCTAAATAATATTTGCAGTGGCCTTTTTAACCTCTTAATCACCACTTTCAAAGTAAGTGTTTAATGTGCTATAACCTAAACAAACAATTACTGAGTTTTGTCGGCTTATCTAATTCCCACCATGGTCTCATCTGTACCATTAATATTCTCTTCCCCACTTGTCCATTGGCACAGTCTAATTGAAATCCAGAGACATGAAAATTCTGTCATTTAAATGGAGCTCAGGCTTCAGACAGCTGAGGAAACAAACCTCAACTTTCTACCCAGCTTGCAGACTTGCTGTTGCCCTTTTATATCATGTTGTCTTCCTTCTAGTATACGGTCTTTCTTTGATATTGACTGAACTACTGTTACTTGTTCTGTTTATTATCTTGGATTTTGTACTCTGAATAGATCATGCTTTGATAATTGAAGAACTAGATTTATTTTCAACCTAGCCTTATTTTCATTCTTAAGAAAACATGACAATAGGAGGAAGAGCTAAACAGCACCATGCCCAACATTTGTGCCTTTTCTTGGCTTATCTCACCTCACGCTATCTGCTTTTTCGCCGTGCCCTTCAAACTGCTAAGGCAAGACTCAACTGTTTCAACTGTATTCCAACATCACTACTCTAGCTATTTGTTACCTTTTGCAGGAAGTATTTGTACCCAGGTTTCATATTTACTCCTAGCTTCCTAAGTAAAAGGTCAAATTTTGGGGAGGGAACTGGGATTGTTTAGTCTGCAGAAGAGAAGGATGAGGGGGGGATTTGATAGCTGCTTTCAACTACCTGAAAGTGGGTTCCAAAGAGGATGGCTCTAGACTGTTCTCAGTGGTAGCTGATGACAGAACAAGGAGTAATGGTCTCAAGTTGCAGTGGGGGTTGGATATTAGGAAAAACTTTTTCACTAGGAGGTTGGTGAAACACTGGAATGCATTACCTAGGGAGGTGGTGGAATCTCCTTCCTTAGATATTTTTAAGGTCAGGCTTGACAAAGCCATGGCTGGGATGATTTAGTTGGGGATTGGTTCTGCTTTGAGTAGGGGGTTGGACTAGATGACCTCCTGAGGTTCCTTCCAACCCTGATATTCTATGATTCTATGAAATTTTACATAAAATTTGCAAAGAAAAATTCAGTATATTTCTGACTACCAGAGAACTAGTTGAAAATTTCAGTTTTTTTTCTACAAACTCTATTCCTAATACTTCAGACATGTTTTTAAGTTTTAAGCCTTCTACCAGTGTAGGAAAAGATCTTTGACTAGTTATTTTTCCAGACTATTTCTATGGGCCTGATACAGGGATCAAATAAAAGCAAGAATTACTAACAACCAGTACCAATTATTTAAGGCCAGCAATTGTATTACAAGTGTAAAAGAGAGACTTTTTATTATGGTCATTGTTACTCTCCTCTGTACACATTTTTAAATATTGACACTTCTTCAGTTATATAGGGGGGCTACTGCTACAATCAAGGAAACTACAAGGGAACTTCTAGCACAGAATTGTTAACTTAGTTAATAGGTTAGTTTCCTCTATCTGTTTGTAAATGCCAGTCTAGACACACCACAAAAGTTTGTTCTAGGATATACACATTTGTAGCAGTGTCACACTGATCAACTGAGTGTTTAGCATATGGAACAACTGCAAGATCAAGCCATTAATTTACTGTGACTCTTGTTATGTCTCCTCCTGTCATAAATATAAAGGGAAGGGTAAACCCCTTTAAAATCCCTCCTGGCCAGAGGAAAACTCCTCTCACCTGTAAAGGGTTAAGAAGCTAAAGGTAGCCTTGCTGGCACCTGACCAAAATGACCAATGAGGAGACAAGATACTTTCAAAAGCTGGGAGGAGGGAGAGAAACAAAGGGTCTGTGTATCTGTCGCTATGCTGCTTTTGCCAGGGATAGACCAGGAATGGAGTCTTAGAACTTTTAGTAAGTAATCTAGCTAGGTATGTGTTAATTATGATTTCTTTAAATGGCTGAGAAAAGAATTGTGCTGAATAGAATGACTATCTCTGTCTGTGTGTCTTTTTTGTAACTTAAGGTTTTGCCTAGAGGGATTCTCTGTGTTTTGAATCTAATTACCCTGTAAGGTATCTACCATCCTGATTTTACAGGGGTGATTCCTTTACTTCTATTTCTATTAAAAGTCTTCTTGTAAGAAAACTGAATGCTTTTTCATTGTTCTCAGATCCAAGGGTTTGGGTCTGTGGTCACCTATGCAAATTGGTGAGGATTTTTACCAAACCTTTCCCAGGAAGTGGGGTGCAAGGGTTGGGAGGATTTTGGGGGGAAAGACATGTCCAAACTATGTTTCCCAGTAAACCCAGTTAGAGTTTGGTGGTGGCAGTGGTTATTCCAAGGACAAAGGATAAAATTAATTTGTACCTTAGGGAAGTTTTAACCTAAGCTGGTAAAAGTAAGCTTAGGAGGTTTTCATGCAGGTCCCCATATCTGTACCCTAGAGTTCAGAGTAGGGGAGGAACCTTGACACCTCTCGTGCCTTGGCACAGTTACCATCACCTTTACATTGCTCTGTCTATTTTTTCTCTCTTGTATTTGTTTGTTTCTTTTTCATCTTTATCTTGGTTTTCTTTTTCGTGTGTTTTTCTCTTTTTTTTCCTCTTTCCTTTTATTTTTGCTGTTTTACATTGGGTGTATCCGTTTTCTTTGTTGTCCGCTGCTCCCAAGAGGTGGACCCTGTACTTTCTCCCTCTAGCCCTCAGGAATAGCATCCCCGATACCATCACGGCAAACCTGGTGGCTTTGTGACTTTGTCCTCACCCACAACTATTTCAGATTTGGAGACAATTTATACCTTCAAGTCAGCAGGACTGCTATGGGTACCCGCATGGCCCTACAGTATGCCAACATTTTTTGTGGCTGACTTAGAACAACGCTTCCTCAGCTCTCATCCCCTTACACCCCTACTCTACTTGCGCTACATTGATGACATCTTCATCATCTGGACCCATGGGAAGGAGGCCCTTGAGGAATTCCATCAAGATTTCAACAATTTCTACCCCACCATCAACCTCAGCCTGGACCAGTCCACTTCCTAGACACTACATTGATAACCAGCGATGGTCACAAACACCACCTTATACCGGAAACCTACTGACTGCTATACTTACCTACATGTCTCTAGCTTTCATCCAGACCACATCACACGATCCATTGTCTACAGCCAAGCTCTAAGATACAACCGCATTTGCTCTGATCCCTCAGACAGAGACAAACACCTACAGGATCTCTATCAAGCATTCTTAAAACTACAGTACCCACCTGGTGAAGTGAAGAAACAGATTGACAGACCCAGAAGTCACCTACTACAAGACAGACCCAACAAAGAAAGTTACAGAATGCCACTAGCCATCACCTACAGCCCCCAACTAAAACCTCTCCAGCGCATCATCAAGGATCTACAACCAATCCTGAAGGACGATCCCTCACTCTCACAGACCCTGGGGGACAGGCCAGTCCTTGCTTACAGACAGCCCTCCAACCTGAAGCAAATACTCACCAGCAACTACACACCACACAACAAAAACACCAACCCTGGAACCAAACCTTGCAACAAACCCCGGTGCCAACTCTGTCCACATATCTATTCAAGGGACACCACCATAGGACCTAAACACAGCCACACCATCAGGGGCTCGTTCACCTGCACATCTACCAATGTGATGTATGCCATCATGTGCCAGCAATGCCCCTCTGCCATGTACATTGGCCAAACCGGACGGTCTCTATGCAAAAGAATAAATGGACACAAATCTGACATCAGGAATCCTAACATTCAAAAACCAGTAG